GTATGCATTCTCTTCACTTTTATCAAGCATCAACCATGTGTGGGGACACACATTAAAAATAAAACTATCATAAAGATAAATGCTACCTTTCCCTGAGTAGTCATTAGTGGCTGGTGTATGGACAAGAAAAAACCTGCGACTGGGACCAGGGCTCGGTATGTGATGAGGGTCAGAGAGCAGTCATTTCCGTGGCCAGAGGAAATCAGTATGTGAGTGGGATGAGGGTTCCGTGTGTGGCCAAGCTCAGGGCTCAGTATTTGATCAGGATTAGGGTTCAGTGTGTGACTGAGATGAGGCTTCAATGAGTAGTCAGGATCAGGGCTCAGTGTGTGGCCAGGATCAGGGTTCAGTTTATGATCAAGGTCAGGAATCAGTATGTGACTGAGATGAGTGCTCAGTGTATGATCAGGGTCAGGGCTTAGAGTGTGACTAGGATCAGGACTCAGCATGTGACCAAGGTCAGGGTTCAGGGTGTGACCATGGGTCAGGGCTCAGTGTGAGAAACTCACTGTATCCAGGGTCAGGGCTAGACCAGGGAGAGGGGGTGGTCCTCTGAGCCACTGATCTGTGCTTTGACCTCTCCCTCTGGCAGGCCCCCTCCTCTCCTTGCCCCCTCCTCCATATCCTCACCACCTGGGTCACCAGGGTAACCAGCCCTGAAATCGTGGGTGTTTTGGCAGCTGAGCCTAACCTGAGTCTATCCTGAAAGGCTGCCTCACTGCAGCAGTTTCCATGGGAACCAAGAGGCATCCTCCGATTAGCCTGCCTTGGACACCCTCTCTCCCACCCACTGCCAGCTTTCCACGTCACCCAGCTTCCGTGTGGGGGCTGGGCTGGGCAGGGGGACAGGGGCAGTCCCACCTGGCCTTCTGCACCTACTGACCCTCTTGGTCTCTGTCACAGCATCACTGGGTGGGGGTAGGGGGCATTTGCAGGTGAAGCCATGTGCCCTGGACTCCATCATTCCCCCCACTCCTGGTCAGCTGTGGGGCTCTGCTTCTGTCCAAAGGGCCAGTTGTGGGCTGGCTGGTAGGGGAGCACCAAGACAAGGGTGAGGAGTGTCCATGAGGCAGAGGTCCACCAGTGAGCAAGTGGGTCATTCTGGGGGGGTCTGCCCTCCTGGGTGGGATGAGTTAGTGCCAGACTTCACTCCTCAGGTGCACCCCCCCCCCATGCTCAGAGGTCATCTTTGCAATTTAAGACCCAGTTGGACTCAGTGTCCATACGTATGGCTCTTACTGGGCATTCAAGGTCCCCGGCTGGCTCCCACACTGATGAGGCTGGGGTCTCATAGCCTCTTCAGTGCCAGCTTTGTGTAGACCCTCCTAGTGGTGGTCTCTCCCCTGGTCCTAGCTGTCTGGGCTGCTCTTCTTTGGGGCTCAGTTTCCTCTGCTGTTAATGGGGTGCAAAGGTTGGCTCTAGGGTTAGACTGCAGAGGTGCCCGGGCACAGAGCACCAGCCTTGCTGAGGGGAGTACCCACTTCACCCCCCACAGGAAGCTTGGCCTGGGGGTGGGGGAGGCAGGCTGGAGAGGAACATTTGCATTTAAATAGAGCTCATACTTTCCCCTCTTCCACCTTCACTCCTGAGATAGAAGTATCTGCAGCCACCTTGGTGGGTGGTGGGTGGCGGTGGGGGGACACTGGTGAGAGTCCAGGCTGTGTGAGCTCTGGTACTCACTATTCTCATCGTGTGGCCTCCCATGTGAGGAGAGGGCTGAGGGCAGAGTGAGCATCCAGGACTCCGTCCAGACCGGGGAGGGTCTCAAAGCCAGCACCAGCCTCGCCTGGGGGCCCTACATTCCTTCTTTCCCAACAGCCAAAACAGTGGGCTCAGTATGGGAGCACCATTACCACGGTGTGCACCTGGCCTCGCTTGGCTCTTTCTCTCCTTCCCAAGGATCGGATCGTGCCCCACCATGACTGCTCTGGAAGACTGAGGGCTTGGCTGCTCACTGTGTGACCTTGGTCAAGGTCCCTTGTCTCTCTGGGCGTAGATGGAAGCCAGATGGGAAGGGGCAGGCACCAGTGGGAGGGTGGGGTCCTTCAGCTACCAGGGAAGGGCAAGGAGAAATGTACACTTTAGGCCTGGGGGGGTGTGAGGTCGATCCTTCCCACTCCTGCCCAGGAGAGAAATGCAAACACCCTCCCCCCCACCCCGCCCCCAGCATCGGCACTAGTCCCTGTACGCATCCCATTCATTTGCCACTGACGCCCCCTGCTGGCCTGATACTAGAACTGATGCTGTTACCGTTAACTGCGGTCGGGTGGATTCCAACTCATTTAAAGGGTTTCAGAGGAGCCGCTGGTGAGTTCGAACCGACAGCCTTGTTGTTCAGTGTTTATTCTACAACATTCCACCATTAAAACCCCCACCACCTTTAAGTGGATTCCAACTCCCAGCAGTCCTGCAGCCGTGTTTCCAAGGCTGTAAATCTTTCTAACAGTCTCATCTTTCTCCAGTGGAACAATTGATGAGTTCAAACCGCCAACTGCTCTATTAAATTATCTGGTGGTGGTAATGGCTGTGTGCCGTGCAGTCGGTTCCGACTCATAGCAACCCTATACAGGGTTTCCGAGGCTGTAAATCTTTATGGGAACAGAATGCCTTCTCTTTCTCCTGAGGAGCAGCTGGTAGTTTGTTTCGAACTGCTGACCTTGTGGTTCGCAGCCCAATTCATAACCACTACGCTCTAGCACTGCTTTAACAAAGCTACAACTGGTAGATGGTTTGAACAGAAATTTATTCTGTCACGGTTTTGGAGTCTAGTCCAAATTCAGAAAGGGAAGGCTTTTCTCCTGTCTGTTGGCTCTGGAGAAAGTTTTTGTCTCCTCCCAGCTTCTGTAGAGCCAACATTCCTGGGTGATCACCACGTGTCTTCGCATTGATCTTCCCCTGGATCCGGGGGATACACAACGCAGGGACCCCTGGCTCTCCACTGCTGACTCTTCCTTCTTGATGGCAGTAGGTTGCCTCTGTCTGCTCACTTTTCTCCTTTTATCTCTCATAAGATAAAAGGTGGGCTCCTGGTGTGGCGCTGTAGGATCAGCACTGGACTGTGAACCACAAGGTCTGAGGTTCAAACCCACCCGCTGCTCTTCGGAAGCCCTATACAGGTCACTATGAGTCGGAACTGATTCGAAGGCATTTAACAACAAAACAAGTTTCCCCAGGGAAACTCCCCTTACATCAGATCAGGGTTGTGATGGATCAAAGGTATTGCAGCCCACCCTTAATCCTCTATTGATCGATGACATCAGATCACATCATGGGGGGATCATCACATAACTGTCAAACCACTGAGAATCAGGGCCTAGCCCAGTTGACACATATTGAGGGACACGATTCCATCCATGGCATAACCCAATGCTTAACTCAGCGTACCACCAGGCTCCCAAAGAAAGCTGGGAAGGAGCTTTTTGTTTTTTTCTTGAATTATGTGTTAGTTTACATGGGTGAACTTTATCTTTTCATTCATCCTATCGTATTTTGTTTTACTGCAATGATCGCAATCTCCTGTATGCATCACAAACACCCAAGGGGTACACCCCACATGCCTGCCCCCCTCCCCCCTGGGCAGCCAGCACACAGCCCCTCTCCCTCCCTGAGTCCAGAGTCCCCAGCCGCTCCTTCTGTCCATGTCATCGCCTCTGCCTCCATCCCTCCATCCCTAGTGTCACTGCCTCTCCAGACAGGGTCTCACACTTTGCTCTTCTCCCTTGATGGTTGCAGAGATCTGGGCTCCTGGACTGCAGAATCAGCTGCTCCCCTCCTTTTGTCACCAGACATTTACAGTTACCTTTTGGGGAGGAGGTTTTGCCTGCAGGGCCCCAGGACAATGCCAACACCGTATCCTCCTTCCTTCCTTGGTCCTATAGTCTTGGGTCTCTCCATGTCCTGGATGTCCCTTGGGCCACTGTGCATGGTACTGACTCTCAATAAGCTTGGCTGCTCACTGAAAGGTTGAGGTTCAAGTCCACCCAGAGGAACCTGAAAGAAATGCATGTCAATCTACTACGTGAAAATCAGTCAGTGAAAAGCCTGGGGAGCACAGTTCTGTTCTGACACAAATTCCGGGTCTCCATGAGCCAGATGTCTTGATGGTAGTACCCATTCTGTGGATGATGAAGGGACTCTGGTGGAAGTGTTTAAGCTCTCGGCCACTAACTGAAAGGTCCAAGGTTCAAACTCAACTAGCCACTCTGTAGGGGCACGGGCCAGTGAAGGCAGTGGACACAGCCTAGGCTGGGGTTGACAAAGATGGCCTGTCAGTGTGGAAGGAGGTGGCTGAGGGGTGGTGCAGGGCACAGGAGGCCTCCTTCCATCCCCCAGCGGGTGGCAAGCTCAGCCAGGCCCTGAGGGAGTCTCAGCCGGGCTCTGACATCAGCTGTGACCGAGCACACCCCAACCACAACCCCCCCCCCACCCCGGTCTCTGGTGTCCCTGTGTGTAGGGGTGGTGGGAGAGGCTGGGGAAACGCGGCACACAGATCAAAGGGGAGTAGGGGGTGGAGCCTCGGAATGGTGAGGGCAGGGCTCCACAATGAAGAAGAGGAAGTAGGCTCAGAGCCCAGCCTGGCCAGACAGGACTGAGGGAGCCACCAAAACCTCATGAGGGGGCAGCCATTCAGTCATTCGTTCAGCGAGTGGTCGGAAGCACTTGTTCTGGAGCGCTGGGCTGCTGGGCTGCTGGGCCGGCCCTGGCATAGGGGCAGGTAGACAGAGCCTACAATACTATGTCCTGAACCCCCAGGAGGGACCCCAAGACCCTCTCCAGCCAGATCCCTTCCATGGGCATCTCTTTCATCAGACCCCACCTGGATGAGGCCGACCTCCATACCAACATCGGTCCCAGGCCACGCTCCTGTCTCCTAGCTATCCCTTATGTGCCCATGCAGGGTGGCCCTCAGAGGTCACTGCTTAAACAACGCGGATGGCTGGCTTACATCGCCTCCCTGCCCTTCACAGTCTCCTGACCCCGCGCTCTGCCCCCCCTCCCAGGTGGCTGGAAGCTATGGTCACTGTGGGGCGAGTGCACGCGGGACTGCGGGGGAGGCCTACAGACGCGGACTCGCACGTGCCTGCCCACACCGGGCGTCCAAGGCGGCGACTGCGAGGGTGTGTTAGAGGAGGGCCGCCTGTGCAACCGGAAGGCCTGCGGCCGTGAGTGCGGGGCGGGGACTGGCCAGGGGGGCTGGGAGCGTGGGAGCGATGGGGAGGCTCAAGGCCTGACCTGGGAAGGGGGTAAACTGGGGGGACAGGAGGGAGCAGGGGAAGAAGAGGGCCTGGCCCGAGAAGGGCGTAAAGTGAGGGGAGGAGGTAGGGCTTGGAGTGGGCAGGGCTAGATAGAGGAAAGGGACGGGCCCAGGACTGGGAGGAATGGAGTCTGGTCCTAGAAGGGCGGAGCCTTAGGGGCGGGGGCGGGGCCTTGCAACATCTGCCAAGTCCAGACCGGGTGAGAGTGTTGGAGGTTAAGGGTCTGGGAGGAGGGATGGGGTCAGCCCAAGAGGTCCCGGACGGGACTTTCCTGTCGTCGGTAGGTTGGGATTTTTGGGGAGCTCACAAATGGGTGACTGGGGTGTCCGCCGCCTTCTCGCTGGGGAACCTAGACCTGGCTAGCCCACTCCAGCCTCACCCTGCTTCCAGATCATATTTCTCTAATAAGGCCCGAACGGCCTCATTGGCTTTTTAGCTGTCCCCATCAAGTTAAATCAGGTTATAATGAGAATGTCATTCCTCAGATGGCTCCTTCCCTTGATGAACTTCCTGGACTCCTCTTGGCATCCTAAAATGCTAAAAGGGAGGAGGGAGGGAAAAGGAAGGTGGGCAGCAGGGGATCAGGACAGACTGGAAGGGCCGTGGTGACCAGGCTCAGAAGCAGGCTGCAGTGCCCTTCAGTCAATGGGCCAGGGGGGCCTTTGTACCACTCAGACCAAGGATGGTTGGGCCAGGGCGGTGCGTGCCAGTGGCGCTCTCCCATTGGGCTTTGCTGGAGGCTGCAAGGGTCACTGACCTACATCGTCCTGTAGCTGCGGGGCACGCCAACTCGCGAAGCCAGTCCCTGCGGTCCACGGACGCCCGGCGGCGCGAGGGGCTGGGAGATGAACTGCAGCAGTTTGGGTATCCATCTCCTCAGACAGGTGAGCTGGGTGCGGACTGGTTGGCACCTCCACACAGCGTCCAGACACTGAGTCGGGGAGGGTTGGCGTATAGGGGAATAAGTCTTTGAGTAAACACGATAAATTAGAATGTTGTTGTTGTTAAGTGCCGTCGAGTCGGTTCCGACCCATAGCGACCCTGTATAGGGTTTCCAAGGAGCACCTGGTGAGCTTGAACAGGTCCAAACCGACCTTGAAGTCCGGTGCCTTAACCCACAGCGCCACCCCAGGACTCCATAAATTAGAATAGCTGCTAATAAGTAACCTTGGCGATTAACGGTAATTAGACGAACTTGTCAGGTGCCAAAGGAAGGCTGGGACCCAGGCGCTGTCTCGGGACTGGATCCTCACCCAGTCCTCATGCTGAACAGCGCCCCCTGGTTATGCTGGGTGTGGGTCTGCAGGTGACCCCGCGGCCGAGGAATGGTCGCCCTGGAGTGTGTGCTCCAGCACGTGCGGCGAGGGCTGGCAGACTCGCACGCGCTTCTGCGTGTCCTCCTCCTACAGTACCCAGTGCAGTGGACCCCTTCGGGAACAGCGCCCGTGCAACAACTCCGCCGTGTGTCCAGGTGGGCGGGCCAGAAGGGCGGGGCCAAGTGGGCGTGGTCAGGTAGGAAGTAGCTGGGGCGGAGCCAGGAGGGAGGGGCTGGCGGGGCCGGGCCGGGGCGGAGCCAGGAGGGAGGGGAGGCCAAGGCCGCAGGACAGCTGGGCAACAGGACTTCTCTTCTTCTGCAGTGCATGGCGCTTGGGACGAATGGTCCCCTTGGAGCCTCTGCTCTAGCACCTGTGGCCGTGGGTTCCGGGACCGCACGCGCACCTGCAGGCCCCCCCAGTTTGGAGGCAATCCTTGCGAAGGCCCAGAGAAGCAAACCAAGTTCTGCAACATCGCTCTGTGCCCTGGTAGGTGAGAGGGGGGGCAGAGGTGAGGGCCCAGCGACCATGTCCCTGACCAGCTAGGGCTCTGGTGACTGGGCTGTGAGTCTAGGGGTTTCCACACCCAGGTCAACTTGGTGCTAGGCTGTTCACACCAGTGTGTCAGGGTGGTGGTCCAGCAAGGGTGTCCACGCCGTGCCCCAGGCTACACTAGCCAAGGTGTTCACGCCGCCTTCCTACCCTTCCTCCCCCGGGCCGGGCAGTGGACGGAAACTGGAACGAGTGGTCCAGCTGGAGCGCCTGCTCAGCCAGCTGCTCCCAAGGCCGCCAGCAGCGCACGCGGGAGTGCAACGGGCCATCGTATGGGGGTGCCGAGTGCCAGGGTCACTGGGTGGAGACTCGGGACTGCTTCCTACAACAGTGTCCAGGTCAGTGCGCTCAGGGCCTGTGGGCTCCGCCGGCAGCCTCGGACCTCTGTGCTTGTGTGACCTTACCACCTGTCCCTGTGTGTCCCTGTCACCATGTCCTCATCACTCTGTGTCCCCGACATCTCATGTCCGTGTGTGCCTGTCACCATGTCCTCGTGTCCCTGACATCTCATGTCCATGTGTGCCTGTCACCATGTCCTCATCACTCTGTGTCCCCAACATCACATGTCCGTGTGTGCCTGTCACCATGTCCTCATC